TAGGGAAACACAGAGCACAACGTATGATTGTTTAGACATGGGACATCTGGGTCACCGTCAGAAACGTGTGAGAAAGTCACTCTGCAGTCATAAGCGGTCCACTGTGAAGTTGTGGGAGATTGTTTGGAAGCTGCTGTATATTTCAACTGCCCACAACAAAAGTGGAATAAAAAACAGCTAGTGAGGTGTGATAGTTATGCTGTTTATCTGAATGTGTGAAAAAACAAACTCTGTGTCTAATATGATGCTTTCAGTGCTGGCTCTGCCAGGAACACTGTCAACCAAAACAAGTGCAGGTAGCTGAGCAACATTTGTCAATAAAACAGTAGAATGCAGAGCATCAGTGACTTTACATACCTATACCTAGGGCTAAACTATTAATTTTCAAATTGAAATCATGATTTAATAAAACATGATTTTCAAACCACAAAAGCTATGATTCAAACTGCCATTAAAACATGTTTTTAAACACTACAGATTCTAAACAATCTGAGTGTCAGGTTTGCCCGGCTGCACCTGCCTCTTTCACCTCCCTCACTTCGTTTCTCTTTTCAGCCCCTGATTACACCACCATACACACCTGCTCCACACCCCTTGATTATCACCAGCTGCACTTCATTAGTTCTTCTTACTTATACCTGGCTCACTTACTAGTCCCTTGCCAGTTTGTTCTTGTTCTCAGGCCTTCTATGTTGTTATTTCTGTTGTACCTTTACCAGTCCACATTTCCCTTGGTTTTTTTGTCAGGTTATATATATATATTGGACCTCCTGTTGCCCTTCTCTGCCCATGCTGATTCCTTCTTCCACGGATTACTACCTCCGGACCTTGGCTCCTACTAAACCCTTCCAGCCTTCACCAGTCAGGTCGATGCACAGTCACCAGTTTCCCTTTGTCCAAAGCCTTGTTTTCTTTCTCCTCAGTAACCACCGTTCTTCACCGACCAGTTCAGGAGTGACCCCAGCGACCCAGCTTGGCCTACTCCTCATCTCATCAATGTACTGTATCTGCTGCTGATCGACACCCGGTTTATCTAGTTCATCTACTCCTGTTTAATCTTGCCATTCACTGCACTGTATATAATAAATCACTGCTTGCACTGAAGTCAGCCATCTGGGTCCGCCTTTCTTTTGCTCACTCACCATCCCGTGTGCGAGCAAACATAACACTGAGCTGCATCCCTACAGGCTTCAGGCGCACATACTCTGCCCGGCTTCACATGCTTCATGTGAAACCTGCAGAGTGAATAAATGTGTGGACAAAGGTAGACCCTCCAAAAAATTTCACTTTGGTGCTGCTAGCTAAAACAAATAAGAAATGCTTCAAATAGTTCAGTGCATGTAGCAGCAGTAACAGTGTAGACCAGGGGTGCCTAATACGTCGATCGCAAAGGTGGTGTTGGTAGATTGCGTGCCATTCAAAAATAAATTAGATGTATCCGGCGTAAAACCCATGCTAAATGTTAATATGAGAATGGTCAATGTGAGGATTTGCTATGGCGACCCCTAACAGAAAAAGCTGAAAGTGGCAATCCCTATGGCATTTTCTACTTGATTGACATGCAGGGCAGCCAGTCTGAGATCTCGTCTTTTCTGACACGAGTCACCAAGCATGCACAGTCAACCACACGAGCTACTACAAAACTCCGGTGAGCGAACTACCTTGTCAGCCTTCGAATTAAAGGGTATAAAATGAGCGGGGGAGCGGAATCAAGTAAGAAACCGAAAACATGGGAAGGACTTGGGAGGACTTTTTTTTCGTGACGTTATATTCGAAATGCGTTTGCTTTATCTACCAATCTACCATCACTATTCCGAAGAAGGGAAATGTGGAGGGGCACTTTCAGACAGTTCATAAAAACTACGACACTCATTCATACATATATTTTGTGTGTGTGTGTATGTGTGCGCACGTGTAGGTCAACCATTTTGACTTGGCCATTTGAAAAGTAGCTCGCAAGGCGAAAAAGTGTGGGCACCCCTGGTGTAGACAATAGAATTCAGGACCACAGCACTCAGAATGTCCAGTCAAGTTTAACAACATAAAAGGTAGTCAGAAGGTAGTCTATTTAGAAAGGTGATGTTGTGTAGTGTTGGCAAGCCTGTAAAAATGGGTCCCAGAGAGAGCCAAGGAGCACAAGAAACAGACCATAGCAGCAAAACTGGCCTCTGATGATCTGGCATCAGAAACCTTAGAACAAGGGCTGCAGGAGACTATTGAACAAATTGTCTCTTTTCAGTTAGAATTCACAGAAGAACAGCAAGGATGTGTACAAGAAGCAGCAAGAGGAGTTCAGAGAAAGGAATTATTATTAAAATGCTATGGCAGGATGCTTAGAAAGTTAAGCTTTTAATAAGTAAGATGATCATAAGATGATTTATGTGTGTGTTGGTTGAAATAATCATTAGAGAATGTGTAAGAATAAAATGTAAAATGAGTGTATTGCATGGAATGGTGAAGTGCTTTTACACCCAATCTCACCACAAAGAGTGGAGAATGCTGAGTCACAGAAAAGAGGATGCAAGACACACATCCCTGAATAGGAAAGTGAAATTGTGTGTGTGTGTGTGACAGAGAGAGGAGTGTGATGAAAAATTAGAAAGACACTGAGAAAGTAATAAAAAATCATGTTCCATGTATAAAGTAAAGATTTGATTGATATATACTGGTTAATCAATGTCTAATCAATGATCAATGTTTAGTTGTATAGTATTCAAACTATAAAGATCCATGTTTTGATTTTAAGGCATTGATAGTTTTGTGAAAAATCTGTGTGTAATTCTGATTGTTCAGTTGAAAGCAATAATGGGAATTGTTGTATTTCAAGCAGATGTGGGTTTTCTGTATTTTATTAAGTATTAAGATGATAAGTTTTCTAAGAAAGGGGAAGTAGAATCCGAGGCTGGATCTAACCAGTCAAAAGCAGTCATGAAGTTACAAGAATACTGAAAGCAATATGCAAACAAGTTCTGAAGAACAGCAGTGTGCAGGCCAAAAAAGGTATTAAGTGCAAACTGTGGCATCTGGTTGGATTGAAGGACTGAGTCTACTGACCAGAATCCTTTAAAAACCCAGGCAAGAAGAGGAACAAGAAGTCCTTCCACGGTTACAGCCGGAGGCTCTGTCCGGTTGATTTCTTGACATCCAGAAGACTGAGTGACTGAAGGAAGACAGCCGAAAGAGTGAGTAGGCTGCGGCTTCTCTCTCTCTCTGATTCTTAAGATTTTAGTGGGTTTACACTTTTAAGTGGTAATTGTTAAAGTTGCACATATTGTGCAATTCACAGTGAGTGTTTGATTACCTAATTCCTAGTGAGTGTGTGAGGTTGCATAACCGTTCACAGGGTTGACAGTAGGCCAAGATTGAACTGCTAAAATGATTTTAGACAGTTACATCAGAAAAGGGTTTATCTAAAATATCCAACTGTTTACTTGTTACATAATATACACTATTCTTTAAATATCCTACCCTTAATAACATCTTATGTCAACTAAATACTGTGCAAAACAAGTATGGTCTTAATTTTCCAGTGACACAGCTTTCATTGGTTCTTTCAGACTAAATTTAACACTGCCTCAAAGGGCTAGAGTATACTGGTTTATAAAAATTTCTCAGTACAGTAACATCTGAGGATTTAAGGACAATAACTGCAGGTTGTTGTTATATGGGAGGTTTTGGGGTCTTATGCTGAATTAATAACATGAAAGAGGGAGGTCTGTAGGGAACTCTGTTCTTAGGTTCATGGTAGTCAATTACTGAGTGAATATCTCCATCATAAAACCTCAAGCAGGGTCTGGAGCTTTAATATGTTTCAAATATGCCACCTTAGAGTGAGAGGTTAAGCTTTATTCCTATGTCCAGGGGTTAGCATATTGTGGCCTTCGTACAGTAGCTTAATGTTCTATTTTGGTTTCATCAAAATTGTACTAAACTGATTAAACTACCACATCTGTGATGAGCTCAGATCTGCAATGTTTTATGAAGAAAACAAAATATGCCTGTACTGTATTTACTGCTGCACTGTACATCTTAAATTCTAATCTCACTCTCTCCAGCCCATAGCCAAATAATTAGTTGATGAAATGAAAGTGAAAAAGAGAAATACAATTGAATACAAATTGAACAGTAGCCCAACTCTCAGGACCACTGGTGCATGTATGAGGATGTTGGGTTTGTCAATTACAATACCATCAATTACAATAGAACTTGTTGAAGTGAATAATACAGAGGAAACGAGAAAAAAATCTCAGTAAATTGCAATTGTAATATTGCTTAAAAAAAAATCACAATTAGAATAAATTAGATTTACCAAATTGTGACACACTTACCTCTACCCACAATATGGCTGGTGTTTGTACTGTAGAAAGCAAGACTGTGGCATTGTAAAGAAACACATAATTGAAAATAAGCCATGGTTTTACAAAATCATTCCACTTCACTATTCCTGTTCTGGGACAAGACACAATGATATATCAATCAAAATAATATACAATGCATGTGTCAACACTATCAAATGTAATGCTGGGGTATGGTGGACTGAGTTACTTCATGTTGTGACTGGCTTCTTGCCCCAAGTCACAGTGGGGATGGGTACACAGGGCATTGTTTAACACTAGCACTGATATAGTACCTTAATTTCTAGAGTATCTAACACCACAGTTTTTCCAAAACTCTACTTTTAGAAATATTATTTTTTCCTTTAATTTAATGAAAGATGTTAATGGAGGACACTTCACAGTGTCCTTCA